GGGTAAAATGAGAGAAGATAGCCTGGGGTATAGCTCTGCAGAACTTAAAAATTCAGGGGTTAGGTAAAACAGGGAAAAATGGGTAATTAAGACTTACGTTGTTAAAGAACCAAGAAATGAAGAAAGCCTCCAAGAATGTCAGATCACAGAAGCCAAGAGAAGAGACTACTCCAGGGTTGCTCAACTTCTCTGAGGGCTCCAGTTACGGGATGGCCAGATGCAGCAATGAGGGCCGTGGTGTTGTTTTTCTTCCTTTCTTAAGAAAGGAAGAGTTTATTGTGGTAAAGATCTTTAAGCAAGTCTGCCAGGCTCAAACATGCAGCTCAGTGGTGCTGAGCACAGACATGCTGGGGTCTGTGCTAGCTAAACAAGGACGATCTTGGTAGAAGAGAGCACAATGCTGAAGTGACTTTACTAAAACACAAGGGCAAGGAGGCAGAGGCAGAAAAGGCATTCAGGCTTGAGAAACGATATCTGAGAGGCGATATCATTATGGCCATTGCTACATTGAGAGGGATTTTTAAATTAAAGCCATTAGTCCATTATTTAATATTGAACAAATTATGCTGTAAAGAAGAAAGGACAAAAGATGCCGGAGAGGGAGGAAACATGTGATAAGCTGAAACTGGGAGAAGAAAAGGTAATGGCCTAGAATAGGATAGACTGGCTTTTAACAAAGTGGAGGGAGGGGTCTGAGCCTGGTGCACACCACTTTGCAGCGTTTCCAGAAAAAGCTGTCCTTTTCAGATTGATAATCATTCATCTATCCTGTGGGTGTTGGATTCTTACTCCTTTCCTGCATTGACTCACTGAGGCCAAAGGGGATGTGGAGAAGGTCTTCCAGGACATCTGTGTGACGTTTCTGGGAGCCTCGGAATGGGCTTGTGGGATTGTTTTATTTCAGGGCCACTGTGTGCGTCACACTGAGAAATTACCCTTATTCTATTTTTTATTTCAAATACTCCTCAATTGTACTTCCAGGAGCCAAATCCCAAGAGCTCACACAGCAAACCCTGACTACAGAATAGCTCAAGTGACCTAACACCAGGGGAATCCAGGAAGAGTGTTCTTCTGCAAACTGAATGTTTGAGAAACCACAGTGAACTGTGACACTCAGCACAAGTGTCAGGGAGTAAGAAAAACAAACACAGAAAGTAAACACATATTCCCATAACAACAACAACAACAACAAAACAAACAACAACAAAAAAACTCCAGATACTATCAACCAAAGCTGCCCATCTGAAAGGATCACAGACAAATATCAAATGTTAAGGGGGAGAATTAACATATATATATATACATATATATAATTCCATATATATATGGAATTAAAAAATGGGAGAGTTACAACAGACACTGTAGTCCATGTTAAAATGAGAGACTAAGAGCCAAATTTCAAAACTTCATAGGTTTAATATACTATTTTTAAGAGAAATCTGAATTACCAAAATGGTTAGTGGATTAGAGAAACTGCATTAAAATTTCAAAATATAGTAGCTTCACAGATGAGATTCACTAAACATTCAAGGAAATAATATCCAAAACAAACTGTCATAGAAAATAGTAAAAGAAAGAAAAATTTATAAATGAATTCTGCAAAGGTAATATAACCCTGATTCTAAACAACAATCAAGGACAGTATATAAAAGGGAAACCCTGAGCCTTCACTTGTGAATAAAGTGCTAAGATTTTTTAAATTACAGATTGCTTGAAGCAGTGTACTAAAAACAGAAGGGGAGATTATGGCAAAGCACTGTGTCCTCTTGGAGAGTCAACAGAGTCACATTGGGAAGATATATCAGTGTGACCTGTTGCCTTCACACAAAACCTGTTCCCCGAAGGTCTGAGGGAAAGCATATAATAATATTTCAGTATCCACCTCAGGTTTTAAAAATATTCCTACTTTAAGCACAACTGGGATAGAAGAAACTGCTCTACCTTGATAAAGACTTTCTATTGAAAATGCCCAGCAAACTAAATAAGCAAGGATGGACACTAAAAATATTCTCAGTGAGACAGAAAGGAAGGGAATGAGTTTACTAACGCTGGCTGCACTGGGGTCTCAGCACATGCATTGCGATTAGGAGGGGAGGGGTCAAGGGTGTTCTTTACAGATAATATGATAATCTACATGAACAAGACAAAAGCCATCTGAAAATAATAAGAATGCTTGCCTTTTAAGCAAGATCATTTAGCCCTTTCAAAAGCAACAATCAACAAATTAAATTTTTAATAGAGAAAATGATCCCACTGTCACGGTCACAACAGCAAAAGCTATCTGGTACCAGGCACAGGGATTCTAACACGGACACACAAGTATTTTGTAAACGAATTATGAAATGCCATGGGAGGATGTTTGAAAATCAGAATAATATCCGCAAACTGGGTCTCTCAGCACTATAAAGGTGTCACAGGTCCTCAGGTTAAATTGTCAATTCAATCCAGCAAAATGCCAAAAAATAGTTTTTCCTTAGGATGTGATGGGCTGAAGTTAGTATAGGGTGAAATCTAAAAATGGTCAGTGCAGTTGTAAAATTGAAGAGGGGAAAAGCCCTTCTGTACATTTAAAGTAATTATCAAGCCATCGTAATTAATTAAGAGTGTGCTATTGGCTCAGAATTGGTTTGACCCATGGAAAAGGACAAGCTAGGAACATTTCCATGAATACATGGAAATTTAATTTACAATCATGGTGTTATTACACATTAATAGGGACCTGATAACTGTTCAGTAAATCAGGTCACAGCAGGCTTTCCATGTGGGGGAGAAAAGACTGACATTAGCTCCAGCTTTTCATGTGTGCAAAGGAAGACACCAAGCTTCAGGTGTGGAGCTGATTCTTTAATGATACAGAGACAAAAAGCACTGTTTTATTTTGGCTTTTTTTTTTTAAGGGATTAATGTGACTACAACTACATTTTATGTGTTCTATAACACAGGCAAAATCAGAAGTTAAAAGACAAGCTATAGATTGGGCCAATATGTTTAATGTGTATACACATGAAACACTATAAATCCAAGGGATGAAAGATAAAATGCATACATAGCATATTGGAAAAATGACAAAGGCTGTAAAAAACAAATCACAGACTCAGAAACTTCAACAGTCAATAAATACATGGAAAAATGCCCAGGCTCACTAGCAGTGAGGGAAATTCAAATAAAATAACAAGATACTGGGTATTTAAAAAATCAAGTTGGCAGAAATAAGTCTGAATCTAGAATGTGTTTATTGCCCTGTGAGGGAAACAGAACCCCTCATCCACTGCTGATGGGTGTGCAAACTGCAAAGTCAAGTGTAGTTTCTAGTAAAGCTGAGATCAGCCTATACACACGGAGAAATTCCTGCATATGTCAGAGAAACATGAACCAGTAAGATCAAAACATTGGCAGCAAGTCCAACCTTCATCAGTAGGACCATGAATAAACAGGACACACTCATGTGCATGGATTTACAATGTAACAATTAAAACAAATTAACTGTATTTATATTTACCAACATGAACAGGAAAAAAAAACGTACCAAGAAGGGAGAAACAAGTTACAAAATAGTGTATACAGTTCAAAACTATGTGTATACACTTAAAGGCAACATTTCATATAGATTCAAATGTAGTTGAAATGTGCAGCCTGAGCTGCAAAGCTGCACACCAGATTCCTGGCAGTGTTTGCCGTTGGGTAAGGGGGAAGTGTTGCCAGGGAGCCATGCAAGGGAACCTTAAATTTTACCAAAAATGATGAAGAGTTAAAACGTGTAAAGAAGACCTGAAGCAAATAAGACAAAATGACAATTACATGAGACAGGTACACTTGTATTATGTTCTTTCAGCATTTTAAAATATCTTTACATTTTTTCTAAATCATAAACTTACTTAAAAGAAAAAAAAACGGGTATTAAAATCACTGATAGAATTTTTGTGTGTGGGTCGTTGTAGTGTCAGAAAATTTGAGGCAAATACCTTTAGCAAAAATGATCAGTTTTAGAACTGGGTCTCCTTAAAAATAACACAGCTGCCAATATTATTTTAAAGCTGCTGAAATTAATAATCAGTTCTACAAGCATCAACATAAAAATCAGGTGGAGAGAAGCAGGTTGCAAAATGACATGTGCAGCCCTGTAAGGGTTATGAACATCTTTACACCCACTAACAAGGACACACGTGTATTTACACACATAGGTGACCGGGCAATGAAGTATAACAGATGTCATACCCTTTATGACACTGATTAGCGAGGGGAAAATGGATAGTTCTGGGGAGAAGAAGAAAGTGGCTTTCAACCCTCTCTGAGTCTTTAATATAAATGAAAAAATCTAAAGCAAACACGACAAAAATATCACAATTGGTTATTCTAGTCATTAGGTATATTGACATATGTTATTCTTGAAGCAAGTGTATCATTTTAATTTCCCAAAGAAAAATTACTGAAGCATTGCAAGTAAAATGCACATAACTTAATATTATAAACGTGGAAGCCTGTGTGCATCCCAAACTGTGGTAGCACTAACCCTGTTTATTTTCTGTGGATTTTTTAATTAAAAAAATTTATTTGAAAGGGGGAGATCAAATAAACCAATGAAGACATGCAAAAGAAATCATTCACATCTTTGATTATAAAAAAAAAACAAAAAAACAAAAAAACACCCACAACCATAAGCCACCGGATGAGCATTCTATACCATTTTGCTGAATTTTCTTATTTTTATTTTTTATATTTTTGTCGAAAGAGAAGTAGAAGACGTTGCCTAATTGGAAACGTGACTTTCTATTATTAAAATTGTGGGAGTCCATTTTAATGTGTTTATCTCGCTGCTAGTCTGTAATTTGTATTTCAGCGTGGAAATTTGTTTGTGTGCCTGTGACAGGTTAATGCGGTTTAAACGTGCATTTTTCCTTCGTTGCTCGAATAGTTAAATCGTTGCTCCGAGGATTTTAAGTTTCTGTTTGAGCCGCGAGGAGTCTTCGCTCTCGCCAGGGTTAAAATCGTTTCTGATTCAGAACGCTATTAATTAATGGCTCGGCGGCCGTGCTGAGGACGCGGCTGGCGAGCGGCGGCGGCGGCCGAGCCGCGGCCGCGAAAACTTTCTTTCGCCCCCCGTTCTCCCCCGCGGGGGGACTCGGGGCTATTTTCAATTTGGGCTGCGAGCGGAGGACGCGAGTCACTCGCGGTTCCGCGCACTTCGCGGGCGGCCGCGTCTGCCAGGCGAGCGGGGCGCGGGGAGCGGGGCGCGGGGAGCGGGGCGCGGGGAGCGGG